GGGCCAATCTTCTCAATGCCATTCGTCGACAGGCCAAGGTGCTCGCAGTTCACGAGCGTCGCAATGCCCTTGTCCATCTTCACAATTGGCGGCAACATCCCAATGAGCAGGACCCTTGGCTCCTCTGCGGCCACAACGCGCGGCGCACTCGCCTTCTCCTCCTCTGACATCTCACGGGTGCGGCGGACGTACTCCGCCTCCTCAAAGTGGGCAATTGCCTCCTTCACTGATGTCGCAGTTGCCATCTACCACAGCTCGCCCCCCACGCCCCACGCCCCACGCCTGCGCAAATGCAATGCAACCTCCGCTGGCTGCGCAAGTGCACACCAATTGCACGCATCGCGCCGTGAGAGCAGCGATGAGAAAGAAAGAAAAACAGCAATGCACAGAAATAAAGCAAGAGAAATAGGTGGCGAGCGAAGCAGCAATGAGAGGGAGGGAGGGAGGGAGGGAGGGAGGGAGGAAGTGCTCAAAAAACAAAAACGGTGGGGTGCTGTAACCCCCACCCCTCAACTGACGGAGACCTCCGCCCTACAAAAAAAAAAAAAAGCTTCCATTGGAATTAGTGGAAAATAAACAACAACAACGAAAAAAGAAAAGAAAAAAAAGGGGGGCAGACAAAAAACTCAACGCCAACAGAAGATTCAAAATAAAATAAAATATTAAAAGACAAAAATTCAATGTTTACAACAACAACAGCAAAATAAAAAAAAAGAAATAAAGAGAAAAACGTCAACGCCAAAGGTTATGATGCTTCCCGTTAACAGCGTCCACATCGGCGGAAGTCGAAAACCACGGATCCACGTATGTCCTATTGCGGCAGCCACCTGAGCACCCCCATGGCCAGGGAAGATCCCACAAACAGACCCAACAGAAGTGCCAAAAGTGCCATGATGCTGGCAATGGAGCGCTGACCAGCCATCACCAGCGACGGCGTGCGGGTGCAGTGGATCATTGCCATGCCACCGTAGTAGCCGTTCGTCAGGCCCCAAATCAGGCACAGAATGTGGGGGAGGACCTCACCAGGGATGATCTTGCGCACACACAGCACCAGCAACGGGATGACGAGAAGACGCAGGAACGACCCAGCCAACACAACGCGCGGCGAGGGATGCAGACGTTTGAACAACAAAATGCAACGCGATAAAAAGTCACCAAGGTTGAACATGGCGATAATGATCGTCGTGTACCAACCTTTCGGACTGCCCGCAGCGAAAAACACACCTGGGAAGAGGAGAAGGGTGGTACCGAACACCACAAAGCAGGAGAGCAGCATTGGCCAAATGCACTTAAACACGACTATTATCTGTGCGTTCAGCATTTGTTGTGTCGAGGTGATGTTGTCCACCTGGTCAATGTCCCAAACGTTGTCCGCATCGCCCACAACGTGCATCACATCCATGTTGTGCTCAGCGCCGGAAAACGGAATCGTATGTTCATTGGGAACCGGCGACACCTCCTGTTCTTTCACGTTGCTCATGGAGATCTCGTTGTCGTCCGTGTGGGCATGTCCTTCTTGGCGGTCATGCATGTACCTGAACTCTGCCGTGTACTTACGGGCAAAAGGGTTGCGCGGCATCACCACCAGCAGGAGACAGGAGACGACCTGAATTCCTATCGAGACACCAATGTAGATGCGGGACTGCGTCTGCACACTTTCGAAGTCATCCGCCATGGATCCCTTGATAGTCATCGCCATTGCGGATGAGATGATACCTGAAAAACCGAGCCCCAAAACGACCGAACCGTAAAACTTTGTCGGGAACGGACCCGCGAGGGCACCTGTGCTGGAGTCGCAGAGTGTCTTCGAGATGCCACTAACAATAGCAACGACCATAATGGTGGCCTTGGCGCCAGCCTCCCCTGTGTGCCCAAGCGGAACAAGAACCAGCGTGAGCATCTCTGCAATCGGAATGATAAGACCAACGATAAGACGGGGACGTAGAGGAATACTCCGGCCCAGGGGCGTCAGCATGAATACCTCGCACACGACCTGCATCCCGAACACGGCTACGTAGTAGTACGTCAGCACATTGGCCCAGAAAAGCGGATCGTCGGCCTTAGTGTCCTTGTCACCCTTGGCATACTTGTAGAATTCCATGATGAAAGGCGGGGCTGCCGTGATGGCGTTGGAAACCATCATAATCGACACCCCAAAGAACAGGAAGGTGAGGTAGACGATGACCTCAGAACATGAGTTAAAGCCAAGTACCGCCATTTGCTGTGCTACTGCCTGTGACCAGTGAAAAAAAAAAGAGTATCCCTAAAAGAGGGGCAGAAGAGAAATAAGTGAGGAAAAAACACATACACGGCGTCGGCCCAGCAAGTGTGCGGCATCGGGAGTGACCAGGGCAACTCAAGCACAGCAGGTGGTGCACTGGATTTGAAACGGTCTCTGTGTGTTGTATGCGACCGGAGTCCCATAAAACTAAAATGAATTGGCCAACAGGAGCCAGAACCGCAGTGGCGGCATGTGCCGGCACAAACGACACAATCCGCGCAGTGCAGCAAAAGCACCGGTGGGGATACACAATGGGTTCTCTCTCTCTCTTTCCATGCGTCCGTGCAGTACTCTGTTCTCTTCTGCGCCACAGGAACCCTGCGAGGGAGTCTGTTTGTCGTGAAACGGCTGTCTCTCTCCATCAAAGCACACTCAGATGCACCGAAGCGAGCAAGGCAAGCCACATGAAGGGCAATGTTTAGGCCTGTAAAAGCGTCGAGCGCGAGACGTAGAGGTGGAGAAGTGTTAGTCTGCTTGAAAAAAACAGGCAGTTTGCCACATTCGTGCATTGCATCGGGGGAGGGAGAGCAAAACTGCGCCAGCTGGCAGTCTCTTTCCCCTGTTGGATACGCTCCCTACGCACACCTGGACGCATTGCAAGCGCGGTGTGATATATGAGAAGCCGCTGGCCCGTGGCGCACACCTCTACAACTCCTTCTTTTTCTTCCCACAGCGAGCGGCCGTGTGCCCCACTGCGTCCTTCTTGGCTTCTGTTCGTGGACGCTTCACTGCCCTGTTTGGCCTTCTGTCGCCGCCGCCACGCCGTCTCCCCGGCCACGCTTGACCCGCTCTTGGGCGCTGCGTGTGCCAGGTGCCGCAGACGTATCCGTTGCTTCTGCCGCCGGCGATGGCGGTGGGACGCCCATCTCACCCCCAATGCCTCCTTCTGCGCCTCGCAGGGGTGACGAAGACGCCCCCTCGGAAGTTGCCGGGACCGCCTTTGACTTATCGTTTTTGTCGCGCACCAGATCCTCGAATTCGATATAGTCAACGTCCTCAGGCAGCTGCAGCCGCAGCCGCAGCTCTCGTGGAGTTAATCCCATGCGCTGCGAGATGTGGCGTTCCAGGAGACGCATGTT